ACTACTACTACTACTACTACTACTACTACTACTACTACTACTACTACTACTACTACTACGGCTACTGTTACTACTACTACTACTACTACTACTACTACTACTACTCTCCTACTCTGACTACTACTACTACTACTATCTACCGCCAGCGCTACTATTATGTTGATTATTTCCACTACTATTACTATTGCTCGTATTTTTACTTCCACTACGGCTAGCTCTACGACTCGTACTTATCATTCTACTCCTACTACTCGTACAAGTATTTCTGCTACGACTACTACTACTACTTTGTCTTTTAGGATGACATCTACTACTACAACCACTACGACTTCTAGTAGTAGTATTACTCCGACTACTATTTCTACTACCGCGACTACGACTACGAGTACTACTACTACTGCTACTACTACTACTACTACTGCTGCTACGACTACAATCATCACTACTACTACTACTACTACTACTACTTGTACTTCTACTTCTTCTACTACTACTACTACTACGACCACTTCTGCTACTACTAGTACGTCTACGACTACTACCACTACTACTACTACCACTACTACTACCACCACGACTACAACTACTACTACTACGACTACTGCTTCTATTACTACTACTACTGCTGTTGCTACTACTACTACAATGACTACTACTATTACTACTACTACTTCTATTACTACTACTACTACTACTACTACTACTACTACCACTACTACTACTACTACTACTACTACTACTACTACTACTACTACTACTACTACTAGTACTACTACTACTACCATTACGACTACAACTACGACTACGTTTACGACTACGACGAGTAGTAGTAGTAGTAGTAGTAGTAGTAGTAGTAGTAGTAGTAGTATTAGTAGCAGTCGTAGTAGTAGTAGTAGTAGTAGTAGTAGCGGTAGTAGTAGTAGTAGTAGTAGTAGTAGTAGTAGTAGTAACCTCGGCAGTAGTAGTGGTAGTAGTAGTCGACGTAGAAGTAGTCGTAGTAGCAGTAGTAGTAGTAGTAGTAGTAGTAGTAGTAGTAGTGGTAGTAGTGGTAGTAGTAGTAGTAGTAGTAGTAGTAGAAGTAGTAGTCGCAGTTAGTCAGTATAGTAGTAGTAGTAGTAGTAGTGTAGTAGTAGTAGTAGTAGTAGAGGTAAGTCGTAGTAGTAGTAGTAGTAGTAGTAGTAGTAGTAGTAGTAGTAGTAGTCGTCGTCGTCGTCGTCGTCGTCGCGTCGTAGTAGTAGTAGTAGTAGTAGTAGTAGTAGTAGTAGTAGTAGTAGTAGTAGTAGTAGTAGTAGTAGTAGTAGTAGTAGTAGTAGTAGTAGTAGTAGTAGTAGTAGTAGTAGTAGTAGTAGTAGTAGTAGTAGTAGTAGTAGTAGTAGTAGTAGTAGTAGTAGTAGTAGTAGTGTCCACATCTGGACTCTTTCCCGGCGTGTCCCCCGCGAAGCTAAGTTGCCAACCAATAAGGTGCCAGCCGCTTATTCGAAAGCCGACGCGAGAGACCCCCTCGCAAAAGCCACAGTTAACTGGACTCTTTCCCAGCGCCGCGCCGGGCAAGAACCTTTTCCGCTGGGAAAGATACGAGATGCGCTCCTTGTGGGACCGCCCGGATGCGCCCCCCAAGCCAAATTTGGCACACTCCTCACACGCTTCGTGGCCCCATGGGGAGCTCCACCGAAGCCCCCAGTGGGGTCACCCGCATGCGCCCCCCAAACCGAACTTGGCACACCCTTCACACGTTTCGTGGGCCCATGGGGAGATCCACCGAAGGTCCCAGTGGGACCACCCGCATGCGCCCCCAAAACCCAATTTGGCACACCACTTACTCGTTTCGTGGCCCTTTTCCGGGCTCCACGAAGGCCCTGGTGCCACCGGCCGCATGCGTCACCCACGCCACATTTGGCGGACCTCTCACGCCGAAACCTAATTTGACACGCCAGTGCCACCGCCCGCATGCGTCACCCACACTCATGTCGTCACACCCCTCACACGTTTCGTGGCCCCGTAGGGAGATCCACCGAAGCCCCCAGTGGGACCGCCCGCATGCGTCCCCCATACCCAATTTGGCACAGCCGCATGCGGTCCCCACACCCATGTCGTCACACCCGGGAACTCCACCGAAAACCCCAGTACCACCGTCCACATGCGTCCCCCATACCCATGTCGGCGCACCCCTCATACGTTTCGTGGCCTCATAGGGATATCCACCGAAGGCCCCACCGCCAACCGTCCTAATGCGTCCCCCACACACCCATGTCGGCACACCCCTCACGCGCTTCGTGGCCCCATAAGGAGCTCCACCGGAGGCCCCAGTGCCACCTTCTTGTTGCGTCCTCCACACCAATTTCGGCACACCCCTCACACGTTTCGCCACCCCCTAGTAAACTCCACCGAGGGTTCCAGTGCCACCGCCCGCATGCGTCGCCCAAACCCGCTTTGGCACACCCCTCACACTTTTCGCGGCCCCATAGGGGGCTCCAGGAAGGCCCGGGTGCCACCGTCCACATGCGTCCGCCGCACGCATGTCGGCATACCCATCACAGGGTTCGTGGCCACATAGGGAGCGCCACCGAAGAAGATATTCACTATAACGGTACGCACAACTGCATGTGGTTGGGTCCTTCGCCAGGCGAATTGTCATAGGATGGTGAGGGAGTTGTGCAGGGTACAAGCGCACAGGACAAATTATTTCATCGCTTCGCTCATTCCGCCGGCCCATATTGTCGCACCGTTGTGGGCTAGCCGAGTTTTGGGGCCTCTTGGGGGCCGTTTTGGGGCCTCTTGGGGCCTCTTTTGGGCCTCTTGGGCGCCTCTTGGGCGCCTCTTGGGGCGTCTTGGGGGCCTCTTGGGGGCCTCTTGGGGCCTTTTTGGGGCCTCCTGGGCGCCTTCTGGGGCGGAGGGCTCGATTTTTCAGTTCTCGGTTCCCCTCTTGAGCCCCTCTTGGGCCCGTCTTGGGGCCTCTTGGTCCGTCTTGGGCGGCACTTGGGCCGTCTTGGGGGCCCTCCTGGGCCGTTCCGGGGCCGTCTTGGGAGCCTCGTGGGCCGTCTTGGAGCGGTCTTGGGGGCCTCTTGGGCCGTCTTGGAGCGTCCGGAAGCCGAAAAAGCCAGAACGCAAAAAACATAGAAAAAACAATGAAAATCAACGATTTTGGCCTCTTGGGGCCCTCTTCGGAGGCCTCTTGGAAGGCCCTTGGGGCGTCTTGGAGGCCTCTTGGGCTGTCTTGGGGCCCTGTTGGGCGTCTTCGGGCGATCTTTGGCCGTCTCGGGGCCCTCTTGGACCGTCTTGGAGGCTTCTTGGGGACCTCTTGGCCCGTCCTGGGGCCCTGTAACAGGGCTCCGGCATCTCTGGCCCGACCTTGCCGGGACCTTGCCGGGGTACTTTTCGTCCGGGGACCCCCAGGGGCCGCCCCGCGCGCGCGAACTAGAAATACTGTTAACCAGGTACCGGAGATCTTAGCACGCCCTGGCCCGTTGGGCCGGCGAATTTTGAACAGAGTGGTAAGGATTGGGTCGTATGGATGTGCACCGAACAGTGGTTGTTGTTGTAGGATGATGACGGTAGGGTCGCATAAGTGTGAGCAGTTGTGTTTCCATAGGATGGTGAGGATTGGGTCGGATAAGTGTGCACCGAACGGTGTCTGTTGCATAGGATGGTGAGGGTTGGGTCGTATGGGTGCGCGCGGCGTTAGTGCGAGAGCCACGCCTTGAAATGGAACCGACCTCCCTCATCGACAATGCTGCAAGGTTTGAAACAATGTGGGCGGCGCTCAGGTGAGACGAAAATCTTGAAAACGATCTAGCCTTAAAGCTGCTGCAAGTTTCTAAGACGATTGTGCGCGGCGCTACGGCAAGAGCAACATTTTGAAAACGACCTAGGCGCCATTCTTGAAGTTGCTGCACATTGCCAAGCTTCAGGACCAGCTTTGGCGAGGAAGTCTCAAGCGCAACGCGCGGCCCAGCCTACGGACGCGTCTGGTGGTGGGACAGCGTGGAGTTTCTTTATACGGGAACAGGAATGGAGGAGGAGGAGGAGGAGGAGGAGGAGGAGGGGCCTCTGGCCCTCCTTTTGCCTTAGCCTCCCAGCCTCCATTCACTTTTGCCCGCTTCTCCCGCTCTTCCTCCTCGTCTCCTCGTCGGGCTCGAGGTGGTGGCATTGGTGTCTTCCGAAGGGCAATGCCATGTCCCCGGGAGGAAGGGTGATCAAGCTAATGGAGATTCATGCGGAGTAGCAATGTCCTCCGCATCCCCTGGGGGACGGGGAGAGAAGAGAGGGACAACGAAACGGCGGCGACACCGCGACAACCTTTTCCTCCTGCTCCTCCTCCTCCTCGTCTTTCTTTAATGACACCCCCACACGACTGGCCCGAGAAATCTTGCTCCGGGCTCCCGCTTCGATCCGTTGGCCTTACTTGAAAACAGTGGCTGGGGGGTGGACGACAACGGACCGCATGCACGTGACCTCGGAGCGCTGGTGTTTTGTGTTCGGTTGCCACCGCTATCCGGACAGTATTGAGCATTACCTTCGATGCCCAAACCTTGTCCATCTGTTCTGTCGTCCTCGTGCGGTGGTGCCCTCATGTCCGCTCATACATCTCGGACTTGGGCTGCCAGTTCATTATCCAGCGCTCGATTTAACTCCAGAGAATGCTGTGCTTGCTACTTCCCCGTGCTTTTACATCTACCACATAGCCAAGGAAATGGTTGGGCGGCAGAACGGTCGGCCCCTCGATCTGTCTCAATCTCTCGTGGCCCTCAAAGCGGCGCTCACGAAAATGCCTGACAATTACTCGCTTATTCCGCCTCCGCCTGGAACGGCTAGGCCTTATCCCTGGCTGAAACCCCCAAGACGTTGAGTGTCGTGGGACCGATGGACGCATGAGGTACTGGCGCTCCTCCTCGTCTTTCTCCTGCTGCTCCTCCTCCTCATCCTCCTCCTCTTCCCCCTCCTCCTCCTCCCCCTGTCCCTCGAAGGGAGAGAGGTAGGTCTGCTTGCTACCGTGTCGCCAGGCCTGGCCGCCGTTGGGGAGCGAGTGCTGTTCCTCCGCGGCGGCGCCGAGGAGGGAGAGGGGCTTGAGCTGGAGGCCCGCTGCATCGGCTGCGCACTCCCCCCCTGATGATTGAGGAGAACGAGGAGGAGCAGGAGGTGGAGGAGGAGGAAAAGGAGGAGGAGGGTAAGGATGAGGATGAGGATGCGGAGGAGGAAGGTGACGAGGATGATGAGGATGATGAGGATGATGAGCATGCTGATGCTGATTATGTTGATGATGGTGGTGTTGAGGATGACGACGATGACGATGAACATGACGATGATCACAACGACGAAGATGATGATGATGATGATGATGATGATGATGATGATGATGATGATGAGGATGATCATGACGATGATGGTGATGATGCCTATGTTGATGAGGAGCATGATGGTGACGATGATGATGGTGATGATGATTATGATGGAAATGATGATGGATATGGTGGTGGTGACGATGTTGATGGCGTTGAGGATGGTGATGATGATGATGATGATGCTGATGATGATGATGATAATGATGATAATGGTGACGGTGATGGTGAGGGTCAGGGTAAGATGGTGTGACGAGATGATGATGTTGATGATGATGTTGATGATGATGCTGCTCCTTGTGGTGATGCTGATAATGATGGTGCTGATTATGATAGTGTTGGTGATCATGATGATGATGATGATGATGATGATGATGATGATGGTGATGATGATGATGGTCATGATGATAATGATGATGACAATGATGGTGATGGTTGTGTGGGTGTGGGTAAGGGTGAAGGTGGAGGTGAAGGTTAGGTTGAGGGTGAGGGTGAGAGTGCGTGCGGATGGGGCTGGGGATGGGGACGGGGATGGGCATGGGGATGGGGATGGGCATGGGGATTGGGATTGGGATTGGGATGGAGGTGAGAACGAGGGTGAAGATGAGGATAAGGGTAAAGAAGATAAGTATGATGATAATGATGATGGTGACGATGATGATAGTATTGGTGATGGTGATGGTGATGATGGCGATGAAGATGATGATGATGATGATGGTGATGGTGGTGATGATGGCGGTGGTGATTATGACCATTATCATGGTGCTGGTGATGATGATGCCGATGGTGATGATAATGGCGATGGTGTCGGTAGTGGTGATGGTAATGGTGGTGATGGTGATGGTGATGATGGTGATGATGTTTGTGGTGGTGAGGCTGATGTTTGCGGTGATGGCGATTTTGGTGATGATGGCGATGGGTGTGGTGATGTCAATTATAATGGTTGTGTTGATGTTGATGTTGATGATGATGGAGGTGATGAGGATGAGGCTGAACGGTGTTGTTGCTTGGGGCAAGTCGTTGCTTCGCCTCTTCAGGTCGAACATACGATCTTGCCTAGCGACGGATCTGCCACAGCGCTGCTCAAGCTGAGTTTGATTCGACCGCTTGATTGTGTCCATCGGATGCACCGCGCAGTCATGCCCACCATCTTAGTTGACGGTACCTTGCTCCATCGCATCGGGTCGCAAGCGATTTGGTCCAGACGGCTTCGACGTGGAAGGTTGAATTGTCGAAGGTGGAGTTGGCTGAGACGTGCGCGCTGAGCAATGATGGTCGAGCGCGGGATACGATAGCATCTCAACTTCGAAAGTCAGTGTTCTTGCTGCGCTGCCGAGTCCACCTTAAGCAAGTGGCGTGCACCTCCTTTGATGTTCGAGAAAGAATCGGACCCGATGTACCGTGCCACGTGTATGCCTTTGCTCATTCTCTGCAGAGCTATACGGCAGGGATTGTTGCTGTTTCATGTTGCTTCGGACGGGATGGAGGGATCAACGACCACCTCGTTATGGACTCAGGTTGTAGAAGCCTTCGGCGGGTGCAGGCTCACGTTGGCCCGCATCGGTTGGCCTGTCATCTTTCCCCGCGGTTGGAGGACGAACGATGGCGTTGTCCTTGCTGTAGCGTCCCTCTGCCCGTGAGCGGTCAAGAAGAATTTGCAGCATGCGATCCATGCTTGGCAGTGGAAACCACTTGCTAAGCAGGGGGATCTTCGGCATCTCGGGCCTGGTGCTGTCATGGCCCCCTTAATGTATTGGTCTCCAGTGGTCGCCCCCGCCAGCGCTCCCATCGTGGTCTGGATACCCCGGGGGCCGATGCCAAAGGATAGTTGCGTTCTTGCGTGGTTGGTGGGCAGCGGCCCATGTTCAGGAAGTTTTCAGCGATTCTAGCACCTAGTGGTACCTGTCTCTGGGGTGATCAGCCAGCCACGTTGAAGCATCGCCATTTGTGGTCGTGAGCTGGGCCAGGAGGCCCCATACCCCGATGCGTTCGACGCTTGAATTCCGGCCTAGGAACGTCCTCGGGGTCGCCTCCCGCCCAACCCCAGGTGGTATTGAACTTGGGGCCTTGGTCACTCGGGGAGCTTCACTGGATGCATTGGCGTTCGAGTCCCCGCAGGGATCTGCGCTGCGCGGCGCGGCTTGTGGTGACGTTGCGCGCTGAGCAGCCCCTGGGAATCCAAGGAGTATTTTGTTATAGCTGTTCTCGGTGTCCTCTTGGCCGAGTCGGAGGCCCTGGCTGTTCTGCTGCAGAGCGCCAGTCCTCCCATCACGGCCGTGGCTGATCCTGATTTCGTGTTTTCTCCGCGTGGCGGAACGTGGCGCTCGGGCGACCGCGCGCCGCTCGACTGCGTGCTGGGGTCGTGAAGGGGAAAGACGTTCTGCAAAGTCAAGGTGCACTGTGTCATTCAGGAGGAAAAGAAACACACAGACACAATTAATCATCGATTCCCCAGAAAATATGGGAAAATATGGGAAGTGGGGGGGAAGACAGAAACCCAGAAAATATGGGAAAATATGGTGAATATTTTTATGTGTGTGTATTTATTTGTGTGTCCCGGGGCCCCTTCAGTCATGGCTGATGTTCCCACCAGGACCTGTTCGACAATTTCTATGCTGATCCGCGGGCCAAGATTGCAGGCCGTCTCAAGCGTGCGCCCAGTGAGCTGCGCGCGCGTAGGTTGAAGGCCGAGCAGTTTTTAGAGTGCGTGGGCCACCGGGTAGGCCTAGTTGGTGAGTAGGTTAACACGCGTGACACGCTGCACCTTGCGCAGCGCGGGCGTGGCACGCCCAACCCTGTCCCTCATGTTGTGCATCCTCCCCTCGTGCACGATCTTCACGGGCAGTCTGGCCGCCCGCGGTGCGCCCGCTGCCGTCTCGCGGCCCCGTCGTCTACGACGCGCGGGCACGTTCGAGAGCCGAGTCCTGGAGGACAGCCGACGGCTGCGGAAGCGGGGGGGCATGGACCACCTTGATCGCGCGTCCCACAGTCGTGAATTGGTTGCTGGAGCCTTTTGCAACCTTCGGTCGCCTGCCTCCGGCGTGGGGCTCATGGGTCGAAGCAGCCCAAGGGTTCTGTTGAAGGCCTGCGGCCGTCCAGGGCCCCAAGGTGGCAAAGCTCTTCGCCGCATGTGTTGTTGGTTCTCGCTTGGTGCTCTGAGAGCTGAGATTCTCGTGGACTGTTGAGTTGGCTCCCTTCGCGTTGCCTTCGGGCGGGGGCCCCACGGCTGGGAGAAGAGGTCGGGGAGGAGCCCGTCGAGGAGGAGGAGGATGTCGAGGAAGATGGCTTCAGTTGCAGATCATGGGAGCCTTGTGTACCCTCGAGATTCCGCACTGAGAGTGTGCCAGTGCCGATTCGCGTCTGGTAGTCGAGGAGACAGCGCCGATTTAGCGTTCATTGGCGTCGATTAGCGACGACAAGCGTCGATTCAGTGTCGGCCAGCGTCGGCCAGCGTCGATTTGCAAGAGCCAGCAGGATGGCATGGGGGGGCCCCCGCGAACTGCCCCCGAAGGGGCGGCGGGGGCAGGGGCGGCGGTGGGAGCGGCAGGCAGGCCCGTCTTCTGCTTCTTCCCTCTCGGGGTCGCTCCTCCTCCTCCTCCTCCTCCTCCTTCCTCCTCCTCCTCCTCCTCCTCCTCCTCCTCTTCCTCCTCCTCCTCCTCCTCCTCCTCCTCCTCCTCCTCCTCCTCCTCTTCCTCCAAGGGGGGGGTGATGACCAGGGCGGGCCCACACCGCCCGGCATGCGAAGCTCGTGACGGGAGGTTTCCTCCACCAGCTCGCCCCGAGGCGAATTGGGTGTCAGCTCCTCCCATTCGTCAGCCTTGGTCATGCGGTTGCGGACCCCCTCCAGCGGGGGCGGATGTCATGGCCCGGGCCATGATGCCTCACCAGATTCCACAACAGGGCTGGACCTAAACGGTGTTTGGGCGATTTCGTAGGGCGTTTTCGTTTCGACTTCGTTCTGCGGCAGAGGTGGATTGAAGACAAAACGAGGGAAAACGAGAACAAAACGAAAACGGAAGACACCGGTTAGGTTCAGCCTTGTCCCACAACGCTTCTCGTGCCAACGCGTCCCTGGGCACCCCCTGGGCCCCACACGTGCCGCGGGCCACGACTCACCGCCTACCGAACCACCCCCAACCCAACCCGAAGGCCCAAATTTCCCCATCCATTTCCAGTGGGGGCGGGTCGGGGAACATGGGACAAAGACATGGAGCCCGTGCCCCCCCCCAACCCGAAATTCGGGTCGAATTCGGGTCTTCGGGTTGGGTTGGGGTGGTCTGGTAGGTAGTCAACGACTGCGAGCCCCCCTCTTGGACGCCCCTGGCCCTCGGCGTCGCCGCCGCCGCATCGTGGGCGTCCTCGGCCAGGCGCGCGCCTCCGCCACGATGCGCCTGGCCGCCCGCTGGCGGGCTCAGCCTCTGCGGGAGCCGCTGGCTGCTGGCGGCTGCGCCGCGGGCGGTGAGGACCGCTTTGCGGCGTCGGCGTCCTGGGCGTCGTTTTGGTCGTCGTGTGTCGTTCGTCGTCGGGAGTTTGCCGTCATCGTCTCCGTCGTCAGGGGAGGAGGGGGCGGCGGAGGAGGAGCAGGAGGAAAAAGAGGAGGAAGAGTAGAAGGAAGAGGAGGAGGAGGAGGAGGAGGAGGAAGAGGAGGGCGAGGAGGGCGAGCCGACGGAGGCGGAGTAGGAGGACGATGAGGGCGAGGTGGCGGAGGAGGAGGAGGTGGCGGAGGAGGAGGAGGTGGCGGAGGAGGAGGAGGGGGAGGAGGAGGGATGGTGGCGCAGGAGGAGGAAGAGTAGGAGTAGGAGGAGGAGGAGGAGGAGGAGGAGGAGGAGGAGACGGCTGTGGCGCTGTCGGAGCCTCTGGAGGCCTAGGATGGCGAAGCCAAATGGGAAACGCTCGAAGCTCGGTAACTTTTCAAAGTGACCCTTCGCCAGTATGACCTTCGGTGTGAGCACGGGGGGGGGGGGCGGGGAGTTCAAGCACGCAGATCCTTGCTGTCGCATCACACGCAACGATCGGCATGCCGCGCGCCAACGGTCCCTCTTGCCTAGGGTCACTCTCGCGTGTAGCCCAGAAGTCCGAGTCCATTTCTCCCTCTCCCGCTCCGCCAGGCATCCAATTCCTTTTTAATGCTGGATCCCAGGAAGCCCCCACACATTTCCGGAGGGACAGCGTTTCTTCCTGAGCCGCTTTGTTGATCGCCCCCGGGCCCCGAAACAGCCTCCAAAGTCAAATTACACCACAGAAAAAAACCCAAGCAGTGGATGGTTTGAAAAGTCGTGATATTGATATGGTGATCGATTGTGAGGTCGATAGTGAGTCCGATGATGGGATCGATAGGAAGGACGATCGCATGGTCGATCGTGAGACCGATCGTGAAGTCGATTCAGTGAGATCGATAGTGATATCGATCGCGAGATCGCTCGTGGGATCTATAGTGGGATCGAGTGTGAGAACAATAGAGAGGTTGGTAGTGAGATCGATGGTGAGGCCGATCGATAAGGAGATCAAGCAAGAACCAGGGAACCCGGAAACCTGGGAACCCCGTCCGCCCACCGCCGAAATCGGTTCAGAACCAGCAACCGGGAACCTTGGAACCCGGAACCGGGAACCCGGGAACCCGGCCGCCTACCTAAATCAACCAGGCATTTTCGCCAAATTTTTTAAACACCAGAGAAATAACCCAACCAGTGGATGGTTTGAAAATTGGTGATATCGATGTTGAGATCAAGTGTGAGATCGATAGTGAGGCCTATAGTGGGATCGATAGTAAGGACGATAGTAAGGTCGATCGTGAGATCGCCTGTGCGATCTATAGTGGGATCGAGTGTGAGATCAATAGAGAGGCAGGAATTGAGATCGATGGTGAGACCGATCGATAAGGAGATCGAGTCAAAACCCGGGACCCCGGAAACATGGGAACCCCGCCGCCCACCGAAATCGGTCCGGAACCAGCAACCGGGAACCTTGGAACCCGGATCCGGGAACCGGGGAACCCGGCCGCCTACCGAAATCGGCTCGGCCTTTTCGCCAAGTATTTCAATCTCCTGTAGGACCCTTTCAGTGCAAGCACTGATTGGGGGAAAAGGGCGAGCAATTGCCGATGAGATGTTTGCCAAGGGGTTGGACGTCTGCGCTGCGGGTCAGAATTCGGGTCTCCGACGGCCGCTCGGGACGATTCGGGCAGCCGTGGAGCGCCCGCGCCGAGGCGCAGATGTTTCAGAGCATCCCGAGGATGGAGAGCCGCCAGGAACATTCGAAAACTTTCGAAACGGTTCGGTCTGATATACGTGTTTTATATCCAATACGCAGACAGACGCGAACACGTGTGTGTGTGTGTGCGTGTGAGCGCCCATGAGTACGTTTGTTCAGTTGCTTGTATGTATGTATGTGTGTATGCTTGCCGTATGTACACGCATGTATAGCTTGTCTGTATTCATGTATGGACGTATATATACATATATATATATATGTATGTATGTATAGTTGTGTGTATGTATGTATGTGTGTATGTGTGCATGAATGTAGGTATGATTGGTTGAAAGAGTATGTGTATGTATGTGTTTGGATACATGCATGTGTATGTTTATGCGTGCATGTGTATGCATGTGTATAGTTGTGTATGCAAGTGTGCATACAGGTGCGTGTATGCATGTATGCATGTATGCATGTATGTGCATGTACTTATGTATGGGTTTAAATGTGTAGGTCGATTTCTGCGTGTATATATACATATATGCATGAGTGTCTGTATGTGTGCGTGCATGTATGCGTGTATTCATACGTGCATGCATGTATGTGTGTGAGTGCATACATGTATGCGTAGATGCATATGTGTACGTGTGCATGCATGCATGCATTCATCTATACGTATGTGTGTCTGCATGGGCGTGTTCATGTGTGTAGGCATGCATGCGTGTATGCCTTTATGCATGTGTGTATGTAAGAATGTGTGTATACAGGTGTGTGAATGTATGCATGGCTGTGCATGTCTGTACATGTTTGCATGTATGTGTGTTATATTTATACGTATGGACGTGCGTGTGCGATTACTGTATGCATGGATGTATATATGGATGTACATACATGCGTGACATATATGTATATGTGTGTATGTGTGTGCATGTGTATGCATGTGTGTGCATACTTGTATGGATGCATGTGCGCATGTATGTATGTATGCATGTATGTATTAGTACGCATGCAGGTAGGAATGCATGCATGGATGCATGCATGCATGGATGGATGGATGGATCGATGTGTGTATGCATGCATGCATGTATGTAGTAGGCCGGTAGGTATGTATGCAAGTTTGAGGGAGGCGGGCCAGGCGGCAGCGGAGGGCCTGTCGGTGGTGGTGCTGAGCTCCGGGCAGTCGCTCGACGGGCCCCCGCCGCGGCTGCTGCTGCTCGGGCCGCGGGTCACAGAGCGGGGCCGATCGAGGCCCATGCCGTGAGGTGATCACGCGTTGCGCAGCCCCGAGGAGGAGGAGGAGGAGGAGGAGGAGGAGGAGGAGCAATGCGAGCAATGCAGAGAGCGGCCAGGTGCATCACGAAGCTGTCTCGGGAGAAGGATGGCGACCCAGCCAGGCTGGGGTCGCCTCAGGCGGTGTGGTCTAACGCCAGCACCGTGCACAGAAACTCACATGGCCTCCTCGGGCAGTGAGTCCGAGCCAGGGGCATCTTCGAGCCCCTCCGCGCAGGCCAACGGCATCGGCCCCAGAGCTCTCGACCCACACCCTCGGAGGCGCCTGCTGGGAGTCTTTCGACGCCATCGGAAAATCCGCAGGCGCGTTGGCCAGCAACAACGGGCCAAGGGCCTCACCCGTCTTGGGATGACGGATGACGGCCCCTCTGAGCATACAGCAGGAGCCTCTGCAGACGATCCCGCTCCGCCCGACTCCCAGTCGTCCCAATCCCGCCCCCCTTACAGGCACGAACCAGGCCGACCGAGAGGCGCTGCGGGCGCACCGCGTGCGCACCGAAGCGCGTGTAGATTAACACACGTTCCAACTCCTGCACCTGATGGCCAGGCCCTGGAGATTGGGGGTCGCAGAATTGGGGGAGGAGGAGGAGGAGGAGGAGGAGGAGGAGGAGGAGGAGGAGGAGGAGGAGGAAGAGGAGGAGGAGGAGGAGGAGGAGGAGGAGGACTGGAGGAGGAGGAGAGGAGGAGGAGGAGGAGGAGGAGGAGGAGGAGGATTGGGGGAGGGCGCCTGGCCAGCGTTCGCCTTCTCCCACCATAGGTGCGCGGGCACGTGGTCCGCGGATTAGAACGAGGAGGTGGAGGGAGAGGAGAGGGGGAGGGGGAGGAGGAGGAAGAGGACGGGGAGGGGGAGGAGGAGGAGGAGGAGGAAGAGGAGGAGGGGGAGGAGGAGGAGGAGGAGGGCGCTGCAGTAAATCCTCCCGTCCCAAGTCCCCTCTCATTGGTCGCCACAAGTAGTCCTTTCCACTGCGGGGCGCGCCCCCCTTGAGCCTGTCACTTAGGCCAGAGTCTGTGTTGTAAATGATCATCTCTGCCTTCTTCTAGCTGATGGAACTCCAAGGGTTGGATGATAATGTTCAAGGTAGTTTCCATTGATCGACCCGTTGTGAAAAGGACCTGCCCTTCAACACCCTGGAAGCGATAGCCCCAGTTTGAAAATGTGACGCCCTCCAGAGATGACACTTTTTTCACAGTTTGGAACGTCGTGCCTTATAGATTGAGGACATCTCGAACGAAGATCGCATTTTGAAATAACCACCCCGCCTTTCGTGTAACTTCTGATTGATTGAAGACGCGAACTCGCGGCGCTAAGACGAGAGCCTCGTTTTGATACGAGCCCGGCTCCATCTCTGCAACTGCTGGAACTTCCAAAACAGTTGCGAGTGACGCTAAGGCGAGAGACGATGTACGGAAACCATTGGCCCTTCATCCGGGTAAATGCTGCAAACAACCCAAACGACTGTACGCGGTTCTGATGCGAGAGCCGCATTGTGGAAACGACCGGCCCTCGGTCCTCGGGTCGCGAGACGCCCAGCACGGCCTGCGGACACGAGCGGTTGTGTGACAGGCGGGGGGCCGATGCACATGGCCAAGGAATGAGGGAGGCGGGCGAGGAGGAAGAAGAGCAGGAGGAGGAGGAGGAGGGGAACGAGGAGAGAGAAAGGAGGAGGAGAAAAAGGGAAAGGAGGACCAGTCTCGACGGGCGAGGCAAGTACTTGAATGGAGAGGCGACGAATGTAGAGAAGGAAGAAGAAGAGGAGAGGAAAAGGAGGGAAAAGAGGAGGGGAGAAAGGAGGAGGAAGCAAAGAGGAGGAGGGAGGTGGAAAGAAGAACATGAGGAACAGGAGGTGGAGAAGGAGGCGGCCCGACCCCTCGGCCCCGCGGGCCCGCCCGCGCGGTGGCGCGCGCACGCCGCAGCCCCGAAAAGAGGGGGGACGGGCCCACGGCCGGCCCTCGTCTGGGACGCCTCGCGCGCCCGGGGAGGCGCGCGGAGGCGCCGCCCTTCGAAGGGCATCAGCATGGACATGAACTTGGTCGTCGTCGCCGTTGCCGCTCGTCGTCGCCGCTCGTCGCCGTCGTCGTCGGGGCCCAGGCAGTCGTCTCCACGTGGATCGGTCGTCGCCGCTCGTCGTCGTCGGGGTCCGGGCAGTCGTCGCCACGTGGGACAGTCCTCCCCGTCGTCTTTGAGCGGCAGGCCCATCGGGCGCTCGCCATTCAGAGGGGGGCGCGTCCCGCAGTGGGAAAGACACCGGCGGAGACTTGTGGTTAGAGGGGGGGTCCCTCCGTTGCCTTCGCTTCCAAGCACAACCCAGGTGAACATCTTCGAAAGATCTTATGGCGTCGCCAAGGCTAGCACGATAGATTGCTCAGCTCAAGACGGCTCAATCGGGGCCCCAAAGGCCTCCAAGAGGGAACAACAAAGACACAACAGTCTTCCAAAACTGCCAATGCCCGCCCCAAGGTGGCCCGAATACCCTCCGAGACGGCCCACCAACACCCCAAAGAGGTTCCTTAAGTTAGATAAACCCACTTTGTTGTGTAGACTCCAGAAGATCTCCAGGGAAGCCCCACGAGCACTCCAAGAAGGCCCCAAGGTAGTTCTAAGAGGGCCTTGTGAAGGACAAGCCAGAGACCTCGAAGTGCCGACGCGCTGCCACTTGGACCATCCGAACAAGCCGAGGACGATGTCCGACGAACGATGCGACCGTAATTACGTCAGTGAATATCCGCGGACCTCGTGTTTGCCAGTACGACGTGTGAAGGGCGGATTCGATGTGCGTTGCGGTGTGCCTCGTCGTCTGGCCACCAGTAAGCCTTCTTACGAAGGCTGTCCGATTGCACGCTGTGTGCCGTGGCTGGCCGTGCCCTTCGCGTGCCGCGGGCAATCTTGGCTCGAGAGCTCGTGGCCGTGCACATGAGCTCCGGTTCGCGCGACACCCCCACTCTGTGGAGGGCCCGGTAGCGAAGCTCCCTGGCTGCGAGGTTTCCTTTTTCAGCTACACGGCACGTGGAAGTGTCCTCTCGCCGGAGAGACCTTTGGCACGGGCACGCCAGGGTCCGCAGATGGCGGAATGCGATGCGATAGCAGCGGCTCGCGCGCTCGGGTTTGGCCTCCCCGCGCCCACCGAAAGCCGCGCACCAACGGTCACTCTTGCCTGGGGTCAATCTTGCGTGTAGCCGACTCTCTCTCTCTCTCTCTCTCTCCGGCAGAGCGGTGCGAAGCGCAGGGAATGATCGGGCGGGAGGAGGAGATCAGTGGCAACGTTGGGGGGGAGGGGGATAGGGTTAGGGGGAGATGTATCGATCCCCAATCGCCCATTGATCGCCGATACGGGCCCGATCGTTATCGGGGGCATATCGTCGATCGGTCGGCGATGTATCGCTTTCTCCGGCTCGATGCTCCCCCCCTTAGCCAGTCCCCCCCGAATGTTGCCTCTCAAAGGAAGGGCGGCGTGTTGAGAAAGGGAAGGAGGATACGAAGAGCGAGAAGGGGCGGGTGAGAGGGGGAGAATATCCAGCTGCTTGCGGCAAGTCTCGCAACCGTGCCAGCCCAGCATTCTGGGTGGCGACTGTTCGAGGGAGGACGGCAGGCTGTCACGCGTGACACCTCGTGTCTCCAGGCTTTGGGGAGCCGTGAAGATGATGAGGAGGAGGAGAAGCAGGAGGAGCAGGATAAAGACGAATGTCGTCACACGTGACACCGTCCGTCTTCGCTATTCGAGGAGCTCTCATTGAACTCGTCCGGGTCTTTTGGCTGTATGGTGGGTGCCTTGGGACCGTCGTGGGTCGTCGACGCGCTTTCTCGGTCCGTCTTGGGTCCCACGGGAGGCCATCTTTGGGCCTTCTTGGGGCCGTCTTGGATGCCTTCTGGCCCTTCGTGGTCCTATTGGGCCATTCTGGGTCCCTCGTAGGGGCTTCGCGGGTCCTCTGAGGGCCATCGTGGAGGCTTCTTGGGCCGTCTTGGGCTGACAGACGCCGGCAACCTGATAATACGGACATGATTAAATTATGCGAGGTACCAGTGAAGCCCACATACCTATGTTGTGTCCTGCGTGTACCAGCACTGTTGCTACTATGACTGGGGCTACGACAACGACAACAACATCTACTACTACGACTACCACTACTAAAGCTGCGACTGCGACTACTACTATTCCTACGACTACTACGGCTACTACTACTACTGCTACTACTACTACTACTACTACTACTACTACTACTACGACTACTACTAGTACTAGTACTAGTACTAGTACTACGACTACTACTACTACTACTATTACTACTACCACTACCACTACTACTACTACTACTACTACTACTACTACTACTACTACTACTACTACTACTACTACTACTACCACTACTACTACTACCACTACCACTACTACTACACTACTACTACTACTACTACTACTACTACTACTACTACTACTACTACTACTACTACTACTACTACTACGACTACTACTACTACTACTACTACTACTACTACTACTACTACTACTACTATAGTTACTACGACTACTACCACCACTACCACTGCTATTACGATTATTGCTACTGCCACCACCACCACTGCTACTATTACTACTACTACTACTATTACTACTACTACTACTACTACTACTACTACTACTACTATTACTACGACTACGAATCCTATTGCGACGATTGCGGTTACGTTTAATGTATTACTATTGTTATCACGATTTGTATTTCTATCACTATCATTAATAGTACGACTACTATCACGATTACTACTAGTATTGCTACTACGACTCCTGCTGCAAATACTGCGATGACGATTACAACTATCATACCTGTACAACTCATACCACTAGTACTACTACTACTACTACTACTACTACTACTACTACTACTACTACTACTTCTTGTTTTGTTATTGCTACCACCACCACTACTACTACTACTACTACTACTACTACTACTACTACTACTACTACTACTTCTACTACTACTACTTCTACTGCGACTACTACTA